TATTTATCCAACGAACTTGAAAACACCAATTTGTAAAGGTGTATGCACCCCTGTGTTCATTTCAGCGTTATTCACAGTAGCCAAGACTTGGAAGCAACCTAAGTGCCCATCAAGGGAAGAATGGATAAAGAAGCTGTGGTATATATACACAATGGAATACTACTCAGCCATAAGAAACGATGAAATCCAGCCATTTGTGACAACATGGATGGACATTGAGGGTATAATGCAAAGTGAAATAAGTCAGAGGGAGAAGGTCAAATACTGTATGATTTCCTTCATTAAGTAGTAGATAATAACAACAATAAACAAACACATAGGGACAGAGATTGGATTGGTGGTTACCAGAGGGGAAGGGGGGAGGGAGGAGGGTGAAAGGGATAATTCGGTACATGTGTACGGTGATGGGTTGTAATTAGTATTTTGGTGGTGAACATGATGTAATCTATGCAGAAATAGAAGTATAATGATGTACACCTGAAATTTTTACAATTTTATAAAACAATGTTACTGCAATAAACAAAAAATTTTAAAAAAAAAGTTCTCTCTCTTTACTCTACACCAACACATCTGGCTATCATCTCATTTCTCTGTTCTCCTTAACAGCAAAACTCTGAGTTCTCTCTGCTCTTTGCCTTCAATTTCTCTTCTTTTCTCTCGTGGCCTCATTTCAATAAAGACTTCACTCTCACCCACTCCACCACAACTGCTGTTATAAGGGTGACCAATGACCTCCATGTTGCTAAGGCCAGTGGTCACTTTTTAGTCTTCTTCATACTTGACCTATCAACAGAATTGATGTAATCACTATGCCCTCCTTGAAATGCTTTCTTCTTTTGGCTTCTTGGACATGTCATTTTCTCACCTCACTGGCCAATCTTTCAATAATCTATTTGGGGGGGGGTTCCTCCTGGTCTCCCCAATCTCAAAATGTTGATGTTCCTTGGTACTTAGTACTCAAACTTATCTAACCTATCAGTGCTTGCTCTCTAAGTCATCTCATTGGCCCAGGGCTTTAACTGCTAATCATATCCCAACAGCTCCCAAATTTATGTTTCCAGCCCAGACTTCTCCCCAAAACTCCAAACTTGCACACCAACTCTATCAACATCTCCACTTTGATATATCAAGTGAAAATGTCCCAAACCAAGTTCCCGATTTCCCACCTGAAATCTTGGAATCATCTTTGATTATTCAGTTTCCTTCACATCCCAAATCTATTAGCAATAGCTTTACCTTAAAACATATCCAGAATCTGACCACTTCTTGCCACCTCCACTGCTACCACCATGGTCCAAGCCACCATCATCTCTCACCTGGATAGTTACAATAATATCCCCACTGGTCTCCCTGCTTCTGCCCTGGACCCATCTTAAGTCTATTTTCTACACAACAGCTAGACTGAACATTTTTTTGTTTTCTCCTGAGGATGATTCGCCCCGAGCTAACACCTGTGCCAATCTTCCTCTATTTTGTATGTGGGTCACTGCCACAGCATGGCTGCCAAGGAGTGGTGTAGGTCCACGCCTGGGGACTGAACCCTGGCTGCCGAAGTGGAGTATGCCAAACTTAACCACCAGGCCACAGGGCTGGCCCCTAGACTGAGCCTTTTAAAACATGAGTTGGGTTTTCTCCCTCCGTTCTCCAAATCCCCCAACCAGGCCTGGTTCTTCCATGTGTGAGGCCCCAGGCAAGAGTGAAATGAACACTGCCCTTCTCTTCCCACCCCTGGCTCTGTTCTGAACCACCAAGGGACTGACCTGCAGAGCACAGACACCCTATGTTGCATGCCTAAGTTTTACCTATACTCAAAAGCACAGTGGCCCCTTGGTCATCCCACAGTGCTACGGGTATGCACACTTGCAGTATGGTCAACTCTTGGGAGGACGGACCTAGCAAAGAGCTGTGCCCAAGTCCTGGTAGCAGGCACAGGGCTGTTAAGGTAGAGAATTCTAAGTTACCAGGTACCCATGACATGGTCTAGAAAGGGGGGAAGGTCTCCAGATGGGGCACATCACTTTGACAGATTCTTTGGCCTGTAAGGAGGGGTAGAAAGAAGCTACTGAAAGGAAGGCTCAGCGCAGGGCCTCCAGTTGCCTGGCTTCAATGGACTGGCAATGTACCAGATGGAGGCTGCCCTGTCAGCCTGAATCCCAGAGTGAAGACAGTGTGGAGCGGGGCTGCAGCTGGCCCATGATGGACATGTGGTGTGAACATACAGCCTTTGAGATCTGGAAGTCTTTCGTTGCCATGACATAATCTATCCTATCCTGACTAATACTTGCTCTGTGAATGTGAGTTCTATAAGGCAGACCATACCTATCTCACTGGTATCTCCAGCACCGAGCCCACTGCCAAGCACACAATAAATACTCAAGTAACATTGAGTGAATGCAACCTTTCTGGATTTCATCTGTACAATAAAGGGGGTTAGAGGAGATATTCTATAAGATCTCTTCAAATTCCAGCATCCCATGATTTCTATAATTTCAGAAATAAAAGGTTCTGTGTTTCCTTCTCAAACACCCGCATGCCAAAGCCTCATTCCCACCTGAATTTCCTTTCTCTTCTGATGAAAAGCTTTTGTACATGGCTGTATATGTTTTTAGCATTCCAAGAACTGCTTAAGGTTTTAAAATCCTAGTGCAATCAGCTTGTACAAGGCAAGAAATTAAATACTGAGAACGCCTTTTCTGTCCCTGAATATTGTGACCCTGAGCAATGCCTCCCTCCCACCCACCTGGGGTGCTGCTGACTCGGGCAAGTACACCTGCTGTTCAAAGACCATTGGAATTACCTCTAAGAAGGAACTGCTTTGAGAATGAGGCTTGTAATGAAACAGTGATTGAAGCGTCCTGTGGTTTTATGCATGGGTCTTATCTAATGCCTAAGTAGATGAACCGCGTGGCTTAAAAGTCAGAATGGAATTAGGTGCTTGTGTGAGTGAGAGGAAGTCTCTGTTCAGCAACCGTTGCTTCTTTGGGATCCAGCTTGGTTTCCAGAACTACTGTGGGAGCACCTGCACAACGCTGACATCAGTTCAACCCTGCAGAAGCGACTGACAGAGAACCTGGACTGGTAGAGCTGACATGGACCTCAGCTCCCTCCTCATCCAAAGCCCTCATTTCACAGGAAAGTGAAACCCAGGGAGCAAAGGTGATTTGCCTCAGGTACAGGTGGAAGAGAAGATCAAGGGATTTAGGAGGTAAGCCCATGATGACTGGGGGGACTTACTGGATGTGGGTGGTTAGGGAGAGAAAGGAATAGAGGACAATTCCAAAGTTTCTCAGTAGGGGTCAAATGAGAAAGAGCAAGCCTGAAGGACATTCGACGAGCTCAGTTTGGGTCACATTGAGTTTGAGGTGTCTGTGAGCCATACAGACAGATATCAAGCAGACAATTAGATATTATAAATCTGAAACTGAGGAAAAAGGACAAGGCTAAAGAGCTAAATTTAGGAGTCGTCAGCCTGTCCAATTGGTATTTGAAACTATTACAGAAAGAGAAGAGACAAGAAATCAGAAGGGGGTAACAGGGAAATAGCCAGCAGAACATCAACATCTAAGGGCTTTGTTAAAAATAAAAATAAATAAAATAGAGAGGAGTTTGCAAAGTAGCCTACAAATGAGTGGCCAGGGAGATGGGAGGGAAATGGCGGGGATGGTGTTAGTAGAGGCGGGAGAGAGGCTTCAAGAAGGCAAACAGGTCCAGCAGGTGCAGCACACACTGCTAATGGCTTCCCCAATATACAGTCCCCCTTCTTTCCTTGCTAACAAAACGTTGATTTTTTTTCAGTGTGGCAATAAATCTGGTCCAAAAAAACAACAAAATCTGATTTCCCAGGCTCCTTTGCATCCAGAGGTGGCCCCTATGACAACCTTCTGGCCAATTAGATATGAGCAGGTGTCTATCTACTTGGTGGGGCCACCAGGGAAACTATTATTTTCCTGATATAAACAGTCAAACAGCTGGCATCCCACTTTTGCCCTTAGCCCTTTGCCCTTTCTTCCTTCTGAAATAATGATTCTATGTCCAGAGGAACAGCAACTATCTAATGAGCTGAGTAAAAAAGACACACTCAGTAGATGCTGGAGTGGAAAATTAGGAGTCTGATCCCGAGCCACCCAGGTGACAGAGTGAGAAGCTGGAGAGTCAGCCTTGACTCCACCACCATCTCACTTCCTTGGATCCAAGACACTTGATTCTTCCCTGAAATACCTTTCGAAGTCACTTTCTTCTAACCACCCCTACTAGCCCTGCATTGTTCAGGCCCACGCCATGTCTTGCCTGGCTAACTGAGCTGTCATCCTAACAGGTCCCCCTGCTTCCACATGCACCCTCTCCAACTCGTCCTCTAACCCGCAGTCAAAAATGGAATACTTTGTGTTCATCCCTGCTTACAATAATTTCACGGTTCTTCATTGCCTAGTAGATAAAGTCAAAGGTCCACAGACAGGCCCTTCACGATTTGGCTCATGCCCTACATTGATTATGACATACTATGCAAATATACATTTTAACCATTTTGTGAACAAGGACCATGTGCCAAACATGGTGCTAGGAACCATGCATTTATTTAGTCCTCCTAATGTTCACATATTTGGTAGTAATATTCTCATTTTACAGATGAGTCAACTGATTCTCAGAGAGGTTAAATCACTTGCCCAAGAACACACAGCTAGTTTAAGTGGGGAAGGCCTGGATAGTCAAAGTTCTTTCCACCAAGACAGTGCCTTGACATGAAAGAAGGTACCCCCACCCCTGCCTCCTGTTCCTCACTATTCCCCATCTACCCTACATGGGCAGCCTTGTCGGAGAACTACAGCCAAACTCAGTCTTGCTCCGGGGGCCAGAGGACTCCGTGCCCCCGCTGCAGTGGGCAGGAGAGCGATTCTCCACACTGGCTTCAGCGAGGGAGGAGAGAACCGCCCTGAACTGGAGCTGCATCTCGGGCTGGTCGGCCCATCCCCCCAGTCAAGGCCCCTCCTTCTCCTCCTCGCTAGCTGGGTGTTGGGTGGCAAGTGCCGAGATGAGGACCCGGGGGCGGAGAGCCCTTCTCCTCTGACCCAGCCAGCCTGGCTGGCACCACGGCGGAGTGGGATCCTGGCTCCAAAGCCACCCTCTCCTGGCTCCGGAGCTGGAAGACTTGGAGGGGAGGACTCTGGTGACTCCCGCAAGGCTCGAGCAAGACCGGGCATCCACCCCTCATCACTAACCCAGCCTGGGCGCTGGTCCCGTGCGCTCCGCTGCGCAGCCTGCTCCGGGGCAAGAGCGCCTGTGCGCGCCGCTGCCGCCCAGCCTCCGGACCGACAGCATCCGCGGGCAGCGGGACCCCGGAGGAGGGCAGCCCAGCAGCCCCGAGAGCCTCGAGGTTGAGGGACGCGTGGTCGGGGAACCTCCTGTGAGCTGCTATCCGGGTTGGGTCACCCAGATTTGTAACTGGAGAAGGGTCCAGGTCCTCGAGGGACATCTCCAGCTGGCACCTCTGGCCCTCGGACCGCGGACTCGGAGCGCAGGCTGCCCCGTGGGCAAACCGACCCGAGTTCTGGTCTCCAGCCAGCGGCACCCTCGCACCCCGGATCCCCCCGGGCACGGAAGCGGTCTAGCCGCCCTGCTCAGCCCTCCTGGGCAGCGGCGCAACGAACCCCAGCTGCTCCAAGCACCCCGATTAGACCCTGGGCAGCCTCTTCTGCCTGGGTAGCCTCTCCCCGGGGGCTCACCCGCTCGCGCCCCTGCGCGTCCCTCTTTGTTTCTGAGCTTGCTCTGCAGGTGATGTAACGAGCCCAGGCTCGCGCGCCGCTTTCCCTCTTCCCCAGACTGTCCCCCCTCCCTCCCTCCCTCCCTCCCTCCGCACCCGGAGCTCTGCGCGCAAAGCCGGGCGCTGGGCTGCGCCGCCGCTCCGCTCCCAGAGCACTGGGGACCGGCGGGCGCTGTCGGGAAAGACACGCTCCCACGTCCCACCGCCTGGGTGCAGAGTCAGTGGGGAAAGCCGGGTTTTCCTTCCAGAATCAAGGGAGAGAGCCGAGAGGACAGCTGCTGTGGAGGTTTCTAAGGAGACTCAGACTGGCTTCTTTCCCTGTTCCTGGGAGACGGCAGGAAACCTCAGGTACCTGGGTCATCCCAGTCGGTGGACGTTTATGAGAGACAGAGGTTGCAATAGTAAGAGAGAGAGAGACAGAGAAAGAGTGAGAGCAGCACAAACAGAGAAATAAAGTCGGAGACAGAGACCAAGATTGACATACAAGTAGAGAGTCAGAGACAAGAGTAAGAGAGACAGAGAGTTGGTGGGTGGGAAATTGACTTGGGTTGTTTGTTTGTTTTTTAAACCCACTGTGGTTTTGCCTCTGACAGAAGAGAGAAAAGCTGCTCCCCGTCCAGCAAGTAGCCCCCAACTGGATGGAGTGAAAGATGCGGCCTGATGACATTAACCCGAGGACTGGGCTGGTGGTGGCCCTGGTCAGTGTCTTCCTGGTCTTTGGCTTCATGTTCACCGTCTCTGGGATGAAAGGAGAGACTCTGGGAAACATCCCCCTCCTGGCCATCGGGCCAGCCATCTGCCTACCAGGTATCGCGGCCATTGCCCTGGCCAGGAAAACTGAGGGATGCACCAAGTGGCCTGAAAATGAGCTGCTGTGGGTCCGCAAGTTGCCCTGCTTCCGGAAACACAAGGACAAGGAGGTGGTGGAACTGCTGAGGACCCCTTCGGACCTGGAGTCAGGCAAGGGAAGCTCAGATGAGCTGGCTAAGAAGGCAGGCCTCAGGGGAAAGCCTCCCCGCCAGGGGGAGGCTGAGGTGGCCATGGCCAGCTCCATCACCACCCCCTCACCCGCGGAGGAAGGAGAATGCCAGAGCCTGGTCCATAGCGGGCCTCAGGAGGAGACATCAAGATACCTGGACGGCTACTGTCCCTCGGGCAGTTCCCTCACCTACAGTGCCTTGGAAGCCAAGCGCTCAGCCTGGGACAGGTCCCAGTGCCCTGAGCCCGAGGACAGCATCTTCTTTGTGCCCCAGGACAGCATCATCGTTTGCTCCTATAAGCAGAACAGTCCCTATGACAGATACTGTTGCTACATCAATCAGAGCCAAGGCAGGTGGGACCACGAGACTATAGTCTAAGCTTTGCATACGAGGGTCGCTGTGTTGATGGACACACAACTACACTCAGCTCCCGATGGAAGGAAACTGCCCTGCTCCAACAGCCTTCACACTGTTAGAAATGGAGCTGGTATGTGACGGGTGTGCAAACCTCTGGTGCCTGAAAACCATGTACATAGGCATGTTGGGGACACATTTTAGGGAAGGGTGATGAGGGCTAAGGACACTGGAAGAGGCAGTGGGTAGGAGAGGAAGCAGTTCCAATTGCTTTTTAACAATTTAAACCATGTCGGATGTTTTGTCAAGTCTATCTGAAGGCAAGATAGACCTAGAGCGGGCTGCAGACACCAGGCATGAAATCACACATGGGCAGTCCACAGGGAGACAGAGCTGCTTTGGGTCTGAGGAAACTGAGAGAAAAACAGTTTAATGCTTCATTATATGAAATGATTTTTATCTGGTGAAAGCTTTTCACACTTAGCATTTGCTGAAAGAAAAATAAATCAAGATAGAACAGCTCCATCCCTCCAGGTGGGGTGGTTTTCAGACAAAGAGGAGTTAAAGAGAGTTGAATTATGTAATTGAGTTTTTTGATATTATCCTCTGACAAGATCAGGGATTTCAAATAAAGTAAAATGAATGTGACCAGCTATGTGAAAAACTAACATTTTTAGATGGCTATGTTACTTCTTAAACTCTTCATTGAAATTGATTTACTGGGTCTTTATCTGAAGTGTTTTTTAACATTTACGATCATTGATGTATAATTTCCTCATCAGGTGCAAAATGACTTGATGTAATATTTTCATAGATTAGAATTTGTTTTCATCAAGTCAAAATGGATTTTACATGTGTATCCTAGTGTCTTTAACATTTCTGGGAGACGTACTGGTAATTACTATTCTTATATGCCTTTTAAAATCTAAAGACTATGAAGTTAATACATTAGTCTTGACTTTATGCAGAATTTACATGAAATGCAACGGTTAAACTTCTGGAAATGTCATTATTTGTACATTTGTTCAACACTCCCAGAGACTGTAAATGCCAATGAAACAGGAGTTAATCTACTAGATTTCACTAAAGCCCAGATTTTATTAAGTTCACCTGATCAGTGAACATTACATGACAAATGTCAGTTTTATTTCATACTTAATTTTTTGCTGCTAAGGAAAAACATCACAGTGGGATCCTGAAATGTATTTCCTATTTCACTTGCTCAACTGTAATAGACAAGACAGCACTCAGCCAGAATACCATTTGATCCCTGTTGAAGAGAAATATTGAATTATATATAGAAATGGTGGTAAATTTCATCCTGGAGGTCAGGATAATTTTGCATCCCTCAAAGAACGATGTTTTATTGTTAATGATCAGATAGTTTCAGCCACTTTCTCCCAAAAGGGGAATTGAGGACAAAAATTTGCTACATACCTCTTTTGTGTATTTCAGGTCCAACTCTGCAATTCTTCAAGTTTAGCAATTATTGTGTCTTAAGAATCATGCCCTTAAAAATCACAATTTTCAAGTTAAATTCAACATCAAAAGTATGCAATTTTTTTAGTAGGGCTTAAATGTCAGAAAATGAGGTGTGTGATCCTGGGCAAATTTTATTTTCTCTCACCTCAGTTCCCTGAAATGGGAGGAGTGGAACCGACTGACGCTAGATTATTTCTATCGTTCGTTCCCAGTTTGAATATTCCATGGCATTATGTCAAAGGCGCTTTACATATTGCCAAGAAATGACTTACAGCAAAATGCATGCCAAAGTTACACAATTCATGAAAACATTTATGCGACATGGATTGAAGTCTTGCTACGACTCAAAAGAATTTTGTAAATGTATGAAAGTAGATTTGTTTTACTACCAAATATTATTTATTCAACAAAATACATTTCTGGGAATAAAATAAAGATGTTGAGAGTAAAATATGTTTGGGAAGAATTTTTTTCAATATTGGTATAGCCCCAAATAGTCTAATACATACCCTTGCACTAAATGTAATTTACTTTGGATTTGGCACGGAGGGAAAATAGTTTTCCAAAATCATAATATCTCTTAATAATTCTAATGCATTTTGAAAGATGGAATTCATGTTTCTATGAAAGTAAAAATTATTGGATAACTCAGGCATAAAAACTTCCTCTAATTTGTTTGCCATTTGTGGACATCTTTAGACATGAGATAGCAAGACATCAGAGAGGGATGTTCACAGAGACTCAGCAAATCCTACACAGGGTCTGAAAAGAGATGCTTGTAGAGTCAGGTGTAGTTTGGGGTTTGGAAAAGTTACTTTCTGATTTCTTGGAACCAGCTCAAACTCCTTGACATCATGCACACACGCACACACACACACACACACACACACAAACACACACCCCAATGTCCAAATCCAAAGTCAACTACTAGTTTAGAGATATAAGGTATTTTATCATATTTTCAAGTTCTATTTCAGAAGAAACTTACTTCGGGTTTCTTCTTGCATCCACCTACTTAAGACACTTAAGTTATCTAAGTATGCATTTGAGGGAATTTTCTGCAAGGCTAAAATAACGGTGTGCAAGTGTTGAGCTGGGAGGCTTAACTTTGACCAGAAAGAATAAAACGTGTGATTGTGTGTGTGAATTTTTCTTAAAATCTTATATTAAGCAACCCCCTCCTAACATGCAGTCAGGTAGACTAGTGCCCCGAATCAACACTTGTTAAGTGCCATTCAGGGTAAAACTGTCATTCTTTTGAACAGAGGTGGAAGAGAAAGAAAACAGGAGTGAGAAGTGTTTGCGCCCTTTAGGGGCAAACAGAGCAGTTCATGCCAATCAACAGTTTTAGCAAATTGTTCACATAGACGTGCTAGATGTGAGGATTGTTCCTAGTGTTCTTTCAGACAGATATAAATTTAAGTAGGCATTAGTTATTTTTCCATTTGCTGTTAATGCAAATAGTCATTTCAACTTGATTTTAAATAGGCATTTTATTTTTGAAATTTCTCTATTGAATTTCTCTTGCTCTATATTCCTATTTATTATGCACACGGGTCCTTTTTCTGAACTGTTTCTTGATTCCAAGGTGTGAATTCAGCCAAGATACCCAAGCTGGAGCATATTTAGACAACTGTTTCAAGATTTCATTACTCTTGCAATCATCAGGGCAGACGAAATCCAGATACAGTTAAGCTCAGGCTCTCTTCCAAACCCTACTAACCAGCTCCTTTGAAAATGTTTTCAATACCATGGATCTTAACATCCACTGAGCTGACAAATATAAGGAAGGAAGATACATGTTTTTAAATGTTTTTCCCTTTTGTAATATCCAACCTCTACTTATTTATTAATATCTCCCCTCTGCACCTACAGTATCATTTATTTGGTGAATTCACTGTTATTCCTATTATTTTATAACATTAAAGAAAATGTTTTTGAAAATCCACAGTCCCACTATCCTAACAGAACCACTGTATTTCCATTTTGGTATTTTATCTTCCAGGCCTCCCCCACATGCATATGTACCTTACATATTATAATCATGTGTTTTTCTTTTCCCTTTTCATTATATCCTACATATGTTTTCATGTTTCTGTGCAGTGTTCCTAATTATCATTCAACAATTGTACAATATGCCACTGTAGTGACGTACCATAACTTATCACGCCATTCTTTATTGCTAGCCAGACACCGTGTTTTATGGTTGGTTTTGTATGTTTTTTTCTATTGTTGGTAACACCGCTACATTATTTGGCGTTTGCCCATAGAGGTGAAAATGTACAGTTGAAAAGCTGTCTCCTTATAGATGAGAGTGAGGGGGCAGAAGTGTGTAAATGGATCAAATGCTTGATATCGTTGGTTTTCTCTTCACATGTGTAGATGCAAGACATAGGGTAAGAGACAAAATAATGCTTCTTCAAAAAGGTCCCCCATCAGGACCAGAGCCAGGATTTTTAAGAGTGAGATGAGACATTTCCCCAGTTAAGATATTTCTAGTGTGTATCTCAAAATCAGATGACAGAGGTGTCAGTCTTCAAGAGCATCGTGTTGAACAAGCAAAATGAAAAATAGACGTAGACAATAATAATTACTTTGTCATGTTTTGAAGGTATTTTCTTAAAGCATCTCACCATATATTTTATAATATATTTAATATGTATGTATATTATTACCTATTAATGACTTACAAATGAACTGGAATTTCAGGAACTCAGACTCTGCCCGTGAGTTTTCTACGTTTCAGTTCCTCATTGGAAAAATTAAACTGAAGATGGAGATGTGGATAAATGCTTGGTTCAACCAAATATCTCAATAAAGGACTGAATTCCACTCAGCCTCTTGTCCAGAGAACATAAAATCACGTAAGCACCATTGAGCTAGAAGTCATATCCTTGATTTCTCACCGCCTACCACAGGGTCCTCACTCCATGGAACCCCAAGGAAAGAAATTTATACATGACGCTGTCCGGATACTCACATAAGATGGCAGGCACTGATATTAGATCTCTACAGTCTTGGGCAAGTTATTCCTGGGCCTGGCCCTTGTTAGAGATCCTCTCTTCATCTTTCCCTTTATTCTTCCCCCTGACCCCATATTAGAGCCTGCAGACTTGGCACCCTCAGTGACAGCGCAAGGCTTTGCAAGCCTTGTCCGTAATAAGGTACAGAGTTACAGAATGGACCGGTTACAAAACAGGACATAAAGCTATGAAAACATCTCTTGTGCTGCTCTTTGACAAATCTATCCCGAGACAGTTAAATACAAAATATAGTTTTGCAATTAATCACTTTCTTGTTTTTCATGGTAATGAACTATTTATATGAGACAACTCTTCTGTCTGAGGCAAGACCACATTTGTTTAAAAGAATTAAGCTTTTGAAAATTACCTGAATCACATGTAATTCAACATGAAAAGTGTGGACAATTGCCTTTGATGTAAGTGATTAGGCCATCTGACCAACCACAAAGGCCCACCTGCCCCTCTGCTCTTGCGTCCCACCTCGCCGGCTCTGCAGCAGCGTCTTGCTGCTCCCTGACTGTGTGCCCCGCAGCTGACCCCCCTGAGCCTTCACCCCAACCATTTTCTCTGCCTCAAATGTCCACCGTGCCATTGCCACTCTGATGCTTAATGCCCTCACATCCCAGCTTCCACAATCGTTTGGATTTTCCCACTCGGAACTGATACTTCCATTATTCTCCGGTCTGACAACAACTCCACCATTAACATTGCGCATATTAGTTGAGTGTGTGTCTGTCTCTAACTACAGTGTGAGCTCTTTAAGGGCAGGGGCCACATTTATTCATCTCTCCACTCTGCC